AGTCAGAGCTTCTCAGGAGCGCTGGTAGGAATTCCCAGTCGGCATTTCTATAGTCCCTATATTGATAGTGAACCGGGGAAATTTTAGGTGTGTGTTTGGTTGTTAGTTTAGGAGGTAAGGTGCAGTACAGCATGTTGTGATCACTGTTGTCGAGTTTATCCCCCACCTCTATCGAGATCGGCTCTATTTTGTGGCAGAGGATTAAGTCGAGAATATTGTTATGTCGTGTTGGGAGGCGTACGTACTGCTTCCATCCTCCTGCATCTATAGCTTCTAGGAGCTCACGATGTATTCTAGGTCCAGTACAGGTGTCCCAGTTCACTCCGGGGAGGCTGAAATCGTCAAAAACTTCTTTTCAGTCAAAAACTGGAGTAGATACATGCTCTAGTATTTCTCCAATAGCCGTATCAGTTATTTTAGGTATGTGAGGGGCTCTATATATACATCCCACGAGAATTTTATTTTGGTTTGTGTGGAGGCCTATCCACTTAGATTTTGGGAGCTTGTCGATAGTTGGGTTTGTAAAAGTGTTGGAGTCAGTGGATTTGGAGGCATATATCAAACACTCGCCTACTCTTTTGTCCACTCTCTCATTCCTGCGAATATCGTAGTTAAGAATTACCAGCTTTGTGACAAGCATATCACTAGTTAGCCAGGTTTCAGTTACCAGGATTAATGTTGACCGTTCCATGAATACCAGGCCGCGAGGTCAGGTTATTTTGTTATGGAGGGATGGAGCATTTAGGAGCATAATGTATGGAAAGCTAGGGTTGTTGGCAGGATAATTAGTAGTTATTCTTCTTGCTGTCCCTAACTCCTGAATGGCTATGCTATGTTCGGAGGGATTCTGAGATGGGACGATGTCTGCGTGTCTACTGTCCCCCGAATAAGTTGTGCAGCCAGGTGGGCAAATGTTTGCTGCAGCCAAAAATAATCCTGTTGCATATATAGGTAACTAGCGTCATTACATGGGTATCTGTGATCATTTCTCGGTATTAGATAGTGTGTTTAACTTTTCAGGTTGTAATTTAAGGCGCTTAAATATTCTGTTTTTAGACTGTCTTGAGGGTTGTTCGTGCTGGGTATATCGCAGTCGCACATTCGTTGACTCATTCTGTGCTGGTGCGTAGAAGGACCGTGAACCAATCTATGTCCGTTATGTAGATGGGGCCTTACATAACTACTATGTGGGTCCAGAAATAAATTCCAATCTATATGGTACCTGGTGGTGTCCCACCAAGTCTTCAGTGTGTTCTAACTATTCGTTTTGTGTCCCGTTCTCAGGTTATGTGTGCCTATAGGCATATTACACCCTCGGTTATTACGGAAATCATGAGTCTCATTCCGCTGGATTAAAGTTGCAAAATTGTTGTTGTCTTAGCTATAGATTAACGAGTCCTAGGATTTCACGTCCAACCACATTTGTTCAGACTGAATTGTAGATTCTATGAAGACGACCAAGCAATCACTTTATCTAATTCATTCTGCACAACAATCTGGAAGTACCCTAGGTTATCACGTTGGAATGTTTAATGGAGCGCATAAAGAAATATAGAAATAGTGTCTTCGCATTAACAAAAAAACTCAAGTATGTTTTGGATGGATTACAAATACTTGGGAAAAAAATAAAGCTTGAAGTAATTCCCCCATATAACTTTGGTGTGTACGGCATCGAGTCTTATTCTTGATTTATATGCAAATTTGGTAATAATTTAAAATAAGTGATACACTTGTTTACTTTTGTCAGCATTTTCATCGTAACATCACAAGTGAATTGTACTCAATGTAGACCAATAATAATAACAATTTATATTTTCTCATAAATGGGTGTTTTCAAGAAATGCATGAGTCTTGAAGTATTATAAATCAATACTTTTTTATTGGTATGAAGGTTATTTCACAACTGTAATCCAGGTTGCGTCGTGGGGAAAAGTAATGCATAATTCATGAGGGAATTGTAAGATATGGAACCAATAATGTTTGCAGATCGTTTGTCACTGTAAATGGTCAAATATCCACACAAATGAAAAGGCACAACCTGAGAAAATTTTCTCGTACATAAACTTCAGGAATAAAACATCCCAAACCCGACTACTGACAATTACATAATCTAAGAAGATCAAGAAAATGCAGGAAAAATACGGATTGCTTTGTTGTGTTGCTATATTTTGATTAAACTAGCGTATACGTATATCCTAATACTTCTTCTCGTTTATAATTGTGTCCTAACATTGTGCTTACTCGACACACACAACGTAAATCAGAAGACACTTGAGAAGGTGTAGGAATGCGTATTCTCGCCGTAATCAAAATTCAAAAGTCGAGCGAGTACAAAATGTATCAATTGTTAACATGCAAGATTTAGAGTAATAAACAAATCGAGGTACAATTACAAAATGAAAGTACGATGATGCGTAATAAAACGGGTCACCACAGTTTCTCCCAAGTCTTTACACAGGAGTCGACACTCCCCGTAGGATCAACTCTATCTGCATCGGAGGAACACGGGATACATTGCGTTGACGTCGACGAAGACATCGTGCTCAAGTACCTAATGAAACTTGATCCAGGGAAATCAATGGGTTCTGGTAATCTTAGTTCAAGGCTTCTCAAAGAGCTATCAGCTCATATAGCCACGATCTTCAGGCTGTCTTCCCCAAATGTAGTGCTAACGCGTGACTGGAAAGACACCACAGTAAACATTATCCACAAAGAAGGATCAAGGCAAAGCCCTTCAAACTAGACATCTATAAGTCCCACAAGCACTTTAATCAAAACACTGGAGAGAATCGTCAGGAAAAGTATCATGACATATCTAGAAAACAACAGTTTGTTATCCAGAGCACAGCATGGCTTCCGAGGAAATCTATCATGCTTGTGTGATCTCCACACTGCAAGGGAAAGCTGGGTCAAATGAAGGGACAACGGAAGACCCGTTGACGTCGTCTTCATAGACTTCAGCAAAGCCTTTGATAAAGTACCTCACAAGAGACTACTCATGAAGTTGGAAGTCCTGGTATCGAAGAAAGATTACTAAACTGGCTCAGGGAATTCCTCATAGATAGGGGGCAGAGGGTTAGGATCAACTCAAAACTCTCCTCTTGGACAGTAGTGCGTAGCGAAGTGCCACAAGGCACGGTACTCGGACCTCTCCCATTTATTTTGTATATCAATGAGATATCTTTGCTCACCGGCTCCCCTATGGTCCTATACGCAGATGACTTAAAAATCTGGAGAGCTGGAGGGTGACAGTGATACGCTTACGTTGCGAAATGACCTCAAAAAACTGTTAGATTGGTCCAAAGAATAGATGCTCTCGATCAACGCAGCGAAATGTGCAGCCGTGAGCATTGGACACGCAAGCATCAGCTCCTACGAACTATAGGGAATAACATTTCCATCAGTTCAAACTCACGTGGACTTAGGTGTCATAGTTAGCCACGATTTAAAAACTACAGAACACTGTCGCGCGGTGGCTGCACGTAGTTTCAGACCCTTATGGGCAATTCTCAGAGCCTTTACTAGAATCACCAGAGATATGTTCACCTCCTTATATACATCTCTGGTGAGGTCAAGACTAGAAAACTGTATCCACACAGCCAGTCTTTGTCTTAAAGGGGACTCACATATTCTAGGAAGGGTTCGATGGAAGGCAACACGTATAATTCTCTGCATGACTAACTTGTCATACATAGATAGGAATAAACACATTATTATTATTAAAGACTAGACGGTTTAAGTCTATTCTCCCTGTCATACTGTAGGCAGAGAGGAGATTTATTCACAATGTTTAAAATTTTACATAATGACTACGGACCTGATATAATCTCATTTTTCTTTCCCACCAGGTCGAAACAGCTTAGAGGACATGGCGGGACAGTTCAAAAGCCAAAAAGAAATCGTATTGTTGTTCAGTACTGGTTCTCACACTGAAACATAAATTCTTGGAACCGACCCCAGAAGAATTGGTGTCTGTAACCTCAACTGACTCATTCAAGAAGGGTTTGCACAAGCACAGAACTTTGATAGTATAGGATTAATATAGGCTCCAGGCCTTCTATCTTCAGCCAATAAATCCAAATCTTAGTCTAAAAGTCTCATCCCCAAAACGTCATATTTTCAGATTTTAAAATTTCTAACTTTTTTCAATGTTTGATTATAGTTTGATTCCACACTGTATTTTAGGTACAGGTATGGAATTTTCAGCATGTGATATCAGTAGCCCGAGTTTTGCAGTTCAACCATTGATATCAGGTGTGCGTCGGCAGGGGATCGAACCCCGTCGGTGGCACAGTGGCTAGGACTCTCGCCGACCATGCACATGATCTGGGGTTCGATCCCCTGCCAGCGCACACTCGATATCTATGGTCGGCCTGAATTTGGGCTACCGATATCCATGCTGAAAATTCCACACTTGTACTGAAAATACGGTGTGGCATCAAGCTGTAATCAAAAATAAAAAAATAAATAAATAACCGTGTGCACGGTCGGCGAGATTCCTAACCGCTGTACCATCTATGAAAGCCTCACTCTACTATAAATCACATAGTGATTAAGTCACTTACAAGTTCGACGAAACACTGTACACGAACTCTGGGCCAGAACAGGCATTTGACAGCCTTAAAGTGGCATTTGGCTCCAGAATATCTTTTTGTATCCCATGACTTTAACAAACATTCAGTAGTTACAACTAACTCAACCATTGTAGCCTAGTGTTTACCTTTCCAGTAGCTTTCTACGACATGTGTCAGACAACCCCTTTTTTCTGACGGATGAAATAAATTACATGCAGTAGAGAGGGTTGCATATGTGCATTGAGACAGGGTTGATTTTTAAGTGGATTCTATTGCCAGTTATAAGTCGCATGACACTGGCCATTTTAGTACCACCTGGTTGTAATTAAGTTTCCATTGAGTCAAAAGAAGTTGAGTCAAACAACAGACTACATCATATATGGAATGATAAACTCGAAATTTGATTTCATGTTTCTAGTCGAAAAACTGAAACTGATAGTCTTCACTTACACCGCGACTTATAATTAGTCTCGTTACTTCAACGTTTCGGTGGCTTGTTAAGCAAATAATGAATGTGATCAGGAAATATGAGTGCTGGTAAAAGGAAATTCACTCAGCATATTATTCCAAACCCCCAGCCATTTAAGTCAAGGGAACATAATTCATTAGAGGAGAATGGCTTGCCGGATCAGGTATTTTGTCGTGAAAAAATCCTAATTGTTTGATTTTCGTTAGTGGTGTTCATCAACCGTTATGCCGATTGATTATGAGGAGTACATCACGAAAAATAAAACCCTTATAGTCAACGATCTGTATCGTGAAACCATACTGTTTCCTCAGGATGACCTGAAAGTAAGTCCAGGACTTTTTCTCTGTATTCCATTTTCAGACTTACCTATCTTCCTTCACCATCAGGTGTCATAAGTGAAGGTCCACTTAGGTTATTTACACTTTTTTATGACGCGAAATGATGAGGTGATATGTAGGATATATAACATATTCTCTCACCGACACATTAATCATGTCGTTGTTTGAGTTCATCTTCATTGTTATGTTTCAACCTAGTCTTGAAGCACAGTTAATTCTTGGAAGTGTGGAGTTTGCTTTTGATGTTTCCTGATCCCACTTCAGTTATATGCACAATATGTTTTTCACATTCTAATATCCATAGTAATTTTGAAATCGTCTGGTGTTACATTTAGTGTGCACCAAAGTAACTTGTATACATGCAAAAACATACATATTCTCTTATATCGTGAAATGCTTTAATTACTTACGCCACGAGTTTAAGGATCTGTCATCACCTTCTTCTCTTAGTTCTACTAAACCCTCTTTTGGACATTTTGTCTCTACATATGTGGTAGTTTCACTGCATTTCGGCTGTATCCTTTGTTTCTCCACCTTTAACTAAAAGCAACGTCAGTTTTCAATCCTCTCATTGGCACTAGAAGACTAAATGAGTAGACATAAAAATAAAAATATAGCTGCTTAAATTCTTGTTTTTTTATAGTTCTGTTTAGCATGCTGAACAAATGTGCGTTAATTTTGAAGTACACTTTGCATATAGAGCTAGGCAAAGTTAAACTATCATAGCCGAAACCCTAGTGACCTTAAACAACCAATCATTACTTGGATACAAAAAAGTCGCGTAATTGTTGAAAAATACACTAAAAAGTATTGCAAACTTGATATTTCACTGATTAGGTTTAGCTTATGTGTTATAAGAATGTCCCTCAGTCAATACACAGATGATCTATGGGGAAATCGTACCATCTGCGGTTTACCCATTCATCCAGTTGATTGTAGGTCATGATTATTTCCGGTCCATTGATATTTCTGACATTATTCCTCAAGTTACGCTAGACTTTAACTGTAATTCTAACTTATGATCGTAAATTTAACCCTAATCCTAACCTTAACCCTAGACTCTTAATCTTAAAAGCCGTAACCCTAAATAACAACATACATATGCAAAAAAAGGGCCTTGCGAATGAGTAGAATATTGTATTGATCCTCCAATTCCAAAAAGGCTGGCATGACTTGATTTCCGATGATATTTCGTGGCACTCCCTGTGTGTAATCGTTTCTTGAAGGCCAACGTTTAAAAGACCTTGACTTTGGCTATGATACCTTAACTTCGCCCAGCGTTGCATTTCCCCGTATACATATCCACCTTTTACTCTTGTGAGAAACCACACTTTGAATAGTATAACAGAGATACTAGAAAATGCTTGGATGTTATTTTTCCAGGTCGTTATACTGATTACTTTCACGAGGAGTAATTGCCAAAACTCCTGAAATTTTACGTCAATATAATTTCCTTTTTAAAGTTAGACAATGTCATGGGGAAATAATTTATCATTGTTCCAAGTACCTTCGAAAAACTCTTTTGTTTTGCATGTATCATTAGTGAAAATAGAATATCATGACACATTCAGTCTAATGTTGCAGATCACTTACCATCTGTAGTCCTTTCGAAGGATTATCATTCTGAAGCTGCTCTTATTGTTGTTCATTTTGGTAACGACATGCCGCCACATGTATAGAGATATTTTGTGGAATATATGCAGTTAGTGTAATTTGGGGACTGCATGCTTGGGAGGAAAGGTTTTCTAAATCATCGGACCTGTTTGATATAGGTCTAGGAGATATTCGAAGAGTTCTTCAAAATAGAAACAATAGAAAAAACAACTAGTTGTAAGTACTTTACTGTTGCTGTTAATGAAAACATATTAAAGTATTGGGGCTTTTACTATCCTTGAATGTATTAGCAAATCTGACCAGGTTTTAGTTGGATAATTTATTTTCAAATTCAATAATGTTATCTTCTGAGTATTAAAATACCCCGTTATATTTCAGATTATCCGCATTCCTCATAGACATCAGATGCTTAACAATGGTGTTCCTGAAGTCGCACTAAAAAACAGTGTGTTTGTTTCGAACCCATTGGCTCGTCATGCAATCGCTTTTTTTGCAACTACGGAATGGATTTATGTCCAGCAAGTTTCTTCTGTTTATCGTGGGAGTTTTCATGTGCTTCCGTTTCTGAGGTTAGTCTTTGTCTCACATTTTACTCATAAAGTAATATTTCTTTGTCATTAACTATGCTGTTTATTAATTTGAATGATTTCCTGTTTCCACATGATAGTTTTACAGTTAGACTGCTAATCGTGTGTGTTAATAAAGCTGTGATTTTATTGGTTCCCTTTGTCGAGTTTAACTTTCATGATGAAAACATTCAGCTTTTTCAATGAGACTTTATTGTCTCGTTGAACTGCTGGAGTTGTGTATTACATAATTTTCCGACGTGGTGAGCCATTTATTATAATTTTAAACTGTTGGACGTTCAATTCACCCTAAACTTTGTACTTATTTATCAGGTCTGATAGCTTTTGACCCTGATATGGATTGGGTGGAAAATATTTTGATGGTTCATCAACTTCATTTTGGTAATGCAGGAATGTGTTGTTTGAGGATCCAAATGTATTTCACTAGTCCATATTCAATGTGGCTCATGCCATATTCCACCCGATTGCTTTTATTTACTAGCCTGACTACGTGTGCTGTGTGTTTCTATTGGCATTATGACTGACTGACTGGTTTCAACATAGAACTTTACACAGAAGTGCAGCAGTTTGAGTTGCCACATTTCCTGCTTGTAGCACACAAAAGAAGATACAAGAGAAAAATATATGCAAAAGCAAAAGTGTGAGAAAGAAAGAATAGTAACCTGGAGAAACAATAGAGTTTTTTTTGCTATGACAAATCACTCAAAGAGTGATGAATGCATCTTCGCCATCATCTAGAATGAGGATTTTGATCCATATCACCAATTGTCTGCAGCCAGTCTTCATTTCCCTACGTGACTGGCTGGCTTAAACTAACTATTATGGATTTCATTAACTGATTCCATGTTTTGGTTTGACCACCACTAGCTAACTCTTTTCCAACTTGATCCATCCTATGTCAGTCAGCTAATATTGCGTGTCGAGGAAGGCGATGGATATGCAGACGTAATATATGTCCTAGCCATCTCAGTCGATGCAGCTGCTTCACAACCTCGTCGATTGATTTTCCCTCCTAACCTAGCACTTGACAGAAGCCTAACCTTAGTATTGCTCACCTTATTGCATCTAACACGGGAGATGGGATGGAGGCACTTATGGTCAAAGACAGTTAGCTGGCCTTTTCGTGTCTCATTTTCAATAGGTATATCTCACTGACAGCGAGAAAAGATGACGGAGCGAACTGGTGAGCAGTACATACGTCCTTTGATCGATAACCAAGCAGATATCACGTCTATGCATGTTGGAAAATGCCATATGAGTCTTTTCTATCCGTGCTTAGATTTCGTCAGCGGTCATCCCGTTGGTGCTGGTGAAACTTCCCAAATAAATGAAGTAGTTAACACTCTACCACTTCACTCCTGCCTGTCTTTAAGTCAACTGGGAGTCGATGTAGTCCAATCCCGTAGCAACATCTTACATTGGATAGAAGCAAACCACATCCAAAGACTTTTGCTCAAAATGTTCAGAAAACTGCAATTTGTCAGCATTTTCAGCTAGGAGACCTATATCTTATGCGTATTCTAAGTCAAGAAGTCAGTCCCTAAGCAGCTGAAGTCAGTTAGGGTTGAGTCTATCAGTACCTCTATGCTGAAATTAAACAAAAATTAGGACAGTGGGCATCCCTAGGGGACACCACTGGTTGATGATGTTATGATATACATTTGATTACTTCCTCCTACCGAATTTCCGCTTTGAACTAAAATAAATATTTCATTCTTTTCTGAGATGAAGTCCAAATATTTTCCTGTTTTAAAATTTTAGTTTCATAATAATCTGTTTTGTGAAAAGGAATTTGTCCTATTGAATAAAAAAACTATCTTATGTATGAATGTTAAGATTATCGTTACGGATTCATTGACGATCAGGAGACATTAAATACTGTTCTCTGGAATTTCATATCATCTTTGTGACAACTGTATTTTGTGTGATTCGCATACTAGATTCTCATGTAAGCATGAAATGCTATTGATTTTTGAACAGAAAGTACTTGAGTAAGTCATGAACTGTAATCAACTTTAAATCGAACTGTTGAGAAATAAACTACGGTGTTTAAAATCTTGGTTGACGATATTACTCTTCAACTGTTATTTCAATTATCATTTCGAAATAGTATGATGTCACGTAGCTTACTTACATATATTGAAAGCTACTCATTGTAGTATGTTTGACTGATCGTGCATGCCAAGGTTATTTAGTATTACAATTAAATTCCTTTTAGTTGATGGCCAGAGACTTTTTCACGGTGTGTGTGTGTGTGCTAGCTCTAAGTTCCATGGTGAAAAGGTTTCATTTATCTGTACCAGTATGGTAGTCCAATGCTTTCAATAGTTTTAGTGGTCAATTTTATTAAGTTCTAGTTTACCATTTCTATTTTTTATAGTGATATCAATGAGTTAGGTGGAACTTTGTCTCAATACTGGTTTTCAATTGATCAGTCAATTGCTGCCAATAAAGATAGTCCTAATCATATCGCAGACTCTGTTCATTTGCCAAATTCAGCTGGATCAAAATCACGAGCATCTAAGGAATTACAAGTCCGTAGTCGCCGGTCAACTACTACAGGTGGTGGTTTTGTAAAAAGTAATCAAACCATTGGTGAAGCTTCCGCCACTGGACTAATGAACCGATTTACAGGCAGTTATCAATCTAAAGATCAAGTGAAATATGAAAAAGTCAGCTGTGATAGTGTATTATCCAGACGAGGCAGCAAAACAAAGGATCAAACACAGTCTGATGACGAAGCACTTGTGGATAACAACAATCGTAACAGTGAAAACATATCAAGTATGAGTTGTGATGGCCGACTGTCTGAAAGTGGAAAATCATCAGTAAGTGTTGGCTCTTTTTTTTCTCGCCTACACATTTCATATCATTTTTTTATTCCTTCATGTTCCTAGTGGAACACAGAGGCTTGAAGTTTCTGTAGCAGTGTAGTAGTGATTTGTTTCAGCGTTGAAGATGAAGGGAGTTCTATTGTAGATTGTAAACCGAGAAGTGGACTTGTAGGCTTAAGGTAGTTAGCTGCAAACGTCTCATTAAACAGTTCACACATGTCTGCATGTTTGCTGTATAGTTTGCCCTTGTTTATAAGGAGAGAAATTTTATGGCTTTGGCGATTCATTCGTTTCTTTAGTATTTCTGTGAGAGCACCTACTCTGGTGGTGCTGGCTAGTGCGGTGCATTCTTCATTTCTCATACGCAAGTTATGAGCTTGCGAGATGGAGCTAAGAGTACTAAGTATTGACCCTAGTGTACTAAAGTCGTGTCGCCTGAAGTAACTTGTTGACAGTCTTTTCAGTTTCCTACGATCCTTTGGCTTTATGAATGTCTTTCTATGTGGGGAAAACTTTAGTGTTTGAAATGGGATGACAGCATCTAAGCATGTGTTGGAGTTATAGTAAAAGATGTCTAGAGCTTTCGAGAGGCTATCAGTATAGAAGTACTCACTCCATTCTGAGGATCTTAGCATTGATTTTACTAGAGTCCAGTCTGCCTTACTGTAGTTCCTGTAAGTTATTTGTTGTGAAGTAGGGGTATGGGTTGCATTGCTACTTGACGGAAGTGGCAGTGCACACAGCACTGTTTTGTGGTCACTCCCTGAAAACTCAGGACCGACTAGGGTAGAAAGGGGACTTATATTGTGGCAGAAGATTAAGTCTAGTACGTTATTACCTCTTGTTGGGGTTGTGACAGTCTGCTTCCAGCCAAGTATATCCAGTGTGCCTAAGAACTTATCAAGTTTAGTTGGACCTGTGGGTATTTCCCAGTTGATTTCTGGTAAGTTGAAGTCTCCACATAGGATCTTATGATCGTAGTGGAGGGTGGATAATTGTTCTAGAGTATTAATAAGTTGGGTCTCGTAATTACTAAAGGTGCCAGGTGCTCTGTAGGTGCATCCAATTAATACTATTGTGTTATTTAAGTGTAAGTTAACCCATAAAGTCTCAGGCATGTTAAGTGTACTACTTTCTAGCTGTGATACAGTAAGTGCATTCAGAAAGTACATAAGACAACCCCCTCCCTTACCACCTTCCCTGTCACACCGAAAGTGTGTATAGTTATCTAAGCTTATCTCTTCATCCAGTATGTTCGAGTTACACCAGGATTCAGTGATGACAATTATAGGGGGTTTGTATATTACTGTGAGTGCTCTGAGCATCGGTAGTTTATTTAGAACGGATCTAGCATTTATGAGGATTAGGTAAAGATGAGATTTGAAATAACATTTGAAGTACTTAAGTTCGTTAATCAGCCCCGAATGTGGTTCAGCACCCAGTAGTACTGTTTGACATGACGACCCTATGTTGAGAGGAGTTTCAGCATCATGTTCACCTATGTCTATCGAGTTGGTGTGTGCTGTTTTCGGTGAAGAATTGAGCGTTGGAGTACTGGATGTGCTATAGGCTAAGGCATTTTTATTTTTAGTTAAGCTAGAAACGGGGGTAGGAATCTTAATTTGACCTAAACTTGTGCATGTACCAAGTGTGCTTAGTGGATGCGGGCGAACTTAACTAGACTGTTCCTACATTCATGCAAAGGGGGAGCCAGCACTAGCGGTTTAGGAGTGTTAGCATCCCTACCAGCTGTTTTTTCAACGCTGACAGGGACGCAGGGGATAAAAAATGATTGGGACCTTGTGAAGACCATGGTCTATTATTCCACCTATTGTTAGGTACTAGTGGTGTCCTTGTAAGGGTTTCGAATGTACTGCTTTGTGGGTTAGTTCCCAGCAGACTTGTACCGTATATCCGATCAAAATTTATTAGCGTGCCATACTGTGAATGCCCTGAGTTGTTGGTGGTCGAGTTCTGACTTGTACTCTTGAGGGTGGTATTGTTTTGGCGTTGGTTATCAGTGTGGGCCATGGTGCTATTTCGCACGTTGTGGGTGCCAATACTATTGACCGTGGGGAATGTGGGCTTACTTATACTGCCATTGTTGCTGTTGGCATGATTTGGGGTCATATTCTTCTCATTTTTACCAATGGACTTATGGCTAGGAGAGGAAAGGGTCAACTTTCGGGGGATTTTGACATTTTTTCTTGGATTATTTAGTGACATGTCTAAATCTACGGTGGTAGGTGGTATAGTTTTATTGGCTATTTGGTTACAATTTAGCGGCCTTTCGGTTGGTGTCGCTCTCTGAGAAGATAATTCTGTGTGGTTAGAGAGGGGTGGTGCGGTGGATTCTACGGTGTCTCCCAAAGGGTTGGGTATAATTGCTGCTTGCAATGTCCTATTGTTTATTCCACAATTAGACTCAGTGTGATAATTATATACGCGCCTTTCTATGACGGTCTTGTCCACCGCAACCTTTATTAGTTTGTAATTTCTGAGTTGCGATAGGGTGTGTTGGGAGTGGGTAAATTTTCTGGCCTCAGCCGGTGTTTCGAACTGAAAACGAATAGGACAACACTTGTCATGTTGACTCTTCTTCAGCCTGTAGCACTTAGTCTTGGAGTTGGGCATTTTCGCCTCACTAAGTAGGATGCGCTGTACCTTTTTTAGTGCCTCATTATCCGGAACGTTGTAGACAATAGCATTTAATTTAGCATCTAGTCGTTTTGTTACTTCTGTAGTAACAAAGTTAATTAGGTTATCCACCTTAGATATCGATTCACTGTCAAGTTTGTTAAGGTCTACAGTTTTCATGAGAATAGTTAAAGGTGTCAGTTCACAGACCTGCAGTCTGATATCACTGATCTGACCTGATAAATTGGAGATTTTGGTATTGGTATCGGAAATTCCAGGATCTACTGACTTATTGTTTTTTAAGTCCCTTAACTCGGCCTTAAGTTCTCCTATAGACAACTTTAGAAGTTCTATTTCTGAAGATAGTACTGAAACAGAGCTTGAAGGCTGGAGCTTTTCGATAAGAACATAAGGTGTAGGGAGGGTTTCTGTATGAGCAGAGGGTACTGAATTTTTGGGAGTAGTGCTAATACTAGCTGTCAGTATAGTTTTATCCTCAGTTTCAGCTCGACGCTTACGACATACAAGTGAGTATTGTGGCTCACTATAACCATTTGTAGGAAGTATGTTGCTTGATGTAGCAATCAACGACTTAAAATTAGTCATCAGTTTTACAGGGGATTGAGTTCGCTGCTTTTTACTTTGGTTAACCATAACTATTTGATATGAAAGTTAATAGTTATAGGTATGGAAGTAGTAGAGGACTTGTGCAAGGATTACAACAAGATAAATTTTATGTAACGAATCACGCAACAACGAATTTATCATCAAGCTGTACAATCGTATATATATCTATATATGATTTTTAAAAAGTTATATCCGGTGAGGGAATTGAATCATAGGTCTCAGTGAATGCATAAAATAATAGTAATAATAAAAGTAGCAGTATGAAATGCAATTAAAACTAAAATGTTTGTGATTATAATCGTAGTTAAATGTCAAGTGGCAAAGCAAAATTAATGTCACATATATAGAATAATTCATAGGATGGATAGAACTTGGTAGGTGAAGAGTGTGCAATTATAAGATTAGCAGACAAATTGAATAAAATAAAAACGTTACGTAATATTGTGTGAAATTTAATAGCATAGAATTTAATGTTGTAAAAAAGAAGAATTGATTTAGAATGACAAGTGAAATAATACCGGGAACAGTTAAAAGTGAGAGTAGTAATAGTAACAATTGACGTAATAAGTAAGGGTATACTAATTGAATGGACAAAAATGAAAAATTGGTAGAGCTAAAATATGATTGGGGATTACCATACTTTAGCATAGACGAGGGATTAAGACCATGAAAGTTGGAGGGGTTGAACGAACTTTTTCTGTACACAGAGATCTGGCTTTTCTGTTTCGATAGACAAAGCTTCACTTCAGCAATACAGATGAGTCGGGTACGTGGGGATTTGGGTAAATTACTCTTTGCCTTGTAGATGACTTTGAAGGCGGAGGCTATAGAGATAGGGTGATCACTACCGACCAGATGTTCAATGATTGCGCTTCTTATTGCTCCACTTCCACCTCTTCGTAACTACCATGCAGGATAGTGTTCTTGCACCCTCTTGGACAAAACTCGTGTCGAACGACCGATGGTCTTAATCCCTCTATGCCAAAGTATGGTAATCCCCAATCATATTTTAGCTCTACCAATTTTTCATTTTTTCATTTCTGTCTATTCAATTTGTACTCTTTTCCTTATTACGTCAATTGTTACTAAATTACTATTCTCACTTTGAACTATCCCCGGTATTACTTCACTTGTTTCACTTGTCATTCTAAATCAATTCCTTTTTACAACATTAAATTCTATGCTATTAAATTTCACACAATATTACGTAACGATTTTATTTTATTTTATTCGATTTGTCTACTAATCTTATAATCTTTATGCATTCACACCTATGTTTCAATTCCCCCACCGGATATAACTTCTTAAAAACCATATGTATATATATATATATACGATTGTACAGCTTGATAATAAATTCGTTGTTGAAAAGAGTCTCTTCGCTGACTGAATCACCCCCTTTGTTTTGATTTCCTATATGTTACACTATGGGAATTTTCCATGATTTAAAAAATTAAAAAATCCAAATCAAATCTTTAAACTATTATTTAAAAAAAAATATCAATACCATATCAAATTCACTGCTTCCAGGATGATTATCATTCTCAGTAGTATCACTTTGATCTAAATTGATGATTGGCGCTGCTGCTGCTGCTGTTGCATCAATCGACGCTGACGACGAAGAAGCGCAAGCGCAAGCACAAGTACCAGTAGAGCCAGGAAATGGAAGATGATTACCGTTAGCTTCTTGAAGTAGTGGAACAGCAGCAGTTGAAATATTATTAATCATCACTGGATTCATACAAGTAGTGGAAGTGGAAGAGTGACCGTCTGTACGCTGTTGACAGATAGGTGGATTCAATGCAGCAGTTGTGTTATATGATGAATCAATATCTGCATTATATGCGACCTAAACATAACACACACACAGGAGGAGAAAAAAGAAAAAAGGCATGGAAGAAGATTTTCTAAATGAAAAAACAAGACGGAAACAAAGACTAACTAACTGATTGACTGACGAGTTTCAACACAGATGTCCAATAGTTCCATTTGCCACACCCCGTCAATATACAACACAAAGCAACAGAAAACAGAGATTCAAAAGAGACGGAGACAATAAACAGAAGTATGAGTTAGGCAAAAAGAATACTAATATGGAAGAACAGTAGAGTTTTAATATATATATATATATATATATATATATATATATATCATAGGTCACAATGAGTGAATGCATCTACGCCAGCGTCAGCCATCACCGCGAAAGATTTTGAGCTAGTCATATCACCAATAATTGTCTTCAGCCTTCATTGGTTCTCATCACCATCCCAAGGACCCCAACCAGGCAGTCTACACCCCCCCCACCCTACGTAACTGGCTGGCTTAAACTAATTGTACTGGATTTCATTGACTGATGATGAAGTCATGTCTTCGTTTGACCACCACCACCACTGGCCAGCTCTTTTCCAACCTCACCCATCCTATGTCAGTCAGTGGCTAACATTGCCCCACCCTTCGGTCGAGGAAGGGTGGGGGGCAATGTTACCTACCACTCGACCGATGCCTCAACTTAATATTGCTTACCACCACCCTGTCTGCCACACCTACCACCTACACCACCTAACACGGGAGATAGAACGCAGACATCTGTGCTCAAAGACAGCTAGATAGCCAGTCAGTCAGTCAGGCAACCGGATCTCACGTCTACCTAAGCACACCAGAGATGGCCTAACAATATACATGAAAGAAAGAGCTTCTTTATTGCAGATAAAACATTATTTAATAAAGGACACAATCCGTGTTTACCAACATGAAATGATGAGATGAAACACGGTGTACAAATGGTTCTCGTGATCATCATGTGAATGATGACGTTGATGATGATGATGGCATCATTTTTTCGTTTGTTGTTTTTTTTTTGAAAGAAGCTGTAAACAACAACAATTATTGTACTTGTTAACACATGAATATTTACTCACTCACTCACTCACTGACTGACTCTTCTCCACCACCATACCCCACCCCCAATAAACACACAAACAGTGTGTCAATGGACCAGGAGATTTACACATATGTGCAGTCAAATTACTTTTTACGCCAGCACGTTCACGTACACTTTTTTTTCTTTCAACGAACAAATTTTTAAAAGTTAATAAATCACATGTTTTAGTGAAGAAAATAAAAATATTAAAATAATTTGCTTTTTATTGTTTAATTTCAAAGACACTAAACAAATGACAATGAGATGCTTCTTCATGACACGTAGACACATACACCTACCTCTTCTTAAATAGGATTAACAATCATTCCTAGGATAACACAAATGATTACGCACACACACATACAGTTTGGGACACACCCACCGACAGCGTTCGAACTCAGCACTTTCCGACTCTGCAAGGCAACTGAACTGGTGTAGACCATTTAGCAGTCACTGGGATCCGATCATCAAATGTCCATTGCATGAATTCCACCTTGATATAAGTATAAAACTTGGGCACTGTGGTAGAGTATAACTACTCCATTATGGATAAGATTTTATTCTGATAAACTGTCACTCACAGTGTTACACAGTAATATATAAAATGATGACGTTTCGAGCACAAACAAACAGAAGGTGTAGCAATGGGATCCGTAATATCCCCGATCGTAGCAGACATATTTATGGATAGCTGGGAAAATATGGCACTTAATACGTTTAATCCTACTCCAAAAATATGGTGGAGATATGTGGATGACACTTTACAAATGTTAAAAACAAACCATATCTCTCTCTAGCTTCTTGACACATATAAACTCACTAGTAGAAGAAATCAAATGCACATTTGAAACCGAAAATGAACAAGGATAATTAGTTAGGTTACATTGTAAAATAAAGTGAATAGAAGAAGGTAAACTACACACTAGCGTTTATAAAAAACCAACGCATTCTAATAGATATTTAGACTTTAATTCATCTCATCCGTTAACTGTTAAGGCAAGCTTGGTTAAGTGTTTAACAAACCGAGCAGTAGCACTAAGTAGCACAAGAAAAGATGATGAAATAAAACAGACAGAAGAGGTGTTGGTGTTAAATAACTATCCCATAAAATTAAATAGGAAGATCGAAAAAAGCCAAAAGCAAAATAAAAATAATTGTGAAACTAGTAATGATAACACAAATAAGAGAGAATAAAAGTCATCTACACTTCTACCATATAAGAAGGGGACATCTGAGACTCTACGTAGGTTTCTTAGTAGAGCAGGAATTAGGGTGGTGGCATTTAAACCTACAAACTCACTCGGAGACAAGTTCTGTAAGCTAAAGGACCCTGTGCGTTGACCCAAATGAACAAAATAATATAATTTACAAAATACCCTGCAATGACTGTGAGGTCAACCACATAGTCAAACTAGTAGATCTGGGGTAGTCAGATTGTCGGAACATAAGGATTTAGCTAAGGCAAGAATGGTTGACCCCACCCAAGAAGATAAGTAATTTAGAAAAAAGTTCTGCAATTGCACTACATGTAATAACACACAACCACACAATAGCATGGTGGGAGAGGGTTAAGATTCTAAGAAGTAATCTATGTAGGTGGAGAGATAGAGAGAGGTTGATTACTGAATCCTGGCTGGTTCATCCAGTCTACACAGAACACTTGCAATAGGGATGACTCATCACTCATACCGGAAATATGGAAAATACCACTACTACCAATCATCAAATCAAGCGATGAAAAATAATGCAATTATATAAACGAAGTTATGTGAGTAGTGCCTTGATATGATTATGCGTAGGGATAAGTTGTGCTCGAAACCTGGTCATCAGTTAATATTACTGTGTAACAACACTGTGCGACTTATCGAAATAAAATCTTATCCACAATGAATTCCACCGTAAGCCAATTTACGCACGATATAGCGCGACTGGCACTAACTAATGTCATAATCATCCATACAGCAGACCTGCTGTATGCCAATGGTCACGACTTCCTCTACTAGAACCACCCTACCTGAATAGGGCCAGTCAGTCACTAGTGAGCATCAGATTGATGATATTCAAGTGTGTTGGTGGTTTGCAGTGACTTGATTGGTTTACAGATTCTCTAACCGATGTCAGCTAATGATAAAATCCTGCTGCAGCCAATCAAATCCCTGCAAACCACCAACACACTTGGATAACAACAAGCTCCAGTAAATTTGTAAGCAAAGGAAGAAAAAAACCACTGTTCATTCATTATTTCTTTATTTATTCACTACGCAGTAAACTGAAGTAGATGTAAAGGGGAGTGATGAGTAGTGTGTGTGTGTGTGTGCGTGTTTGTTACTTCCCGGTGGCCCATACTATGGAAGGTGATTTATTCTACGGGTATTTGAAACAGAAAGAGCCTTAGTGTATTGCATAACCTAAGAACACGTGTGACAGCTGCATGAGAACCGCCTGATTTGCTTTTTTTTGGAATCGTGTCCATGTTAAGAACTTACCCCATTGCCTACGGACCGTCGGAGGATTTAATAATCGGGATGTACAATTTTCACGGTCCAGCTTTCGTAGTCCCCCCTCTCTCTCTCTCCCTTTCCAGAATGGTGCGAAGGGGCAGAAAAAGGGGGGCGGCATGCTTGTCATCTATCTCTCTTATCGGTGTGACACTCCTATTCCAGGGCAGTAGGATTTCGTAAACACAAGGGCATCAAACATATTGGGTAAACAACCGATTCTAGTGAAGCTGCCTGCTATCCAAACGACCCTAACAGCACGGAAATATGCCGTGTGCTACGGATAGGAAGACTGATAGGAAGACGTCAAAGATTGAATTCGACATTTTAATTCACACTAATGCTGGCTGCAGGAGTAGAAGTGTTTATTCCTCAAATCTAAGTGTGTCTAGCTTACGATGTCGACAAGAAATAATCCCGTTGGACAACCTTTTTCAAACCTCAAAAGAAAAATTTCCAACCAATCAAAAGGATTTATATTCCGTTGACGGAAACCGGATTGTAATGTGACTAAAAATGTTTATGAGTAAACAATATTATATGACATCTAATCCACAGTGAAGACGAAACAATTTTACCGGTCAAGTTCGTACTGTGGTAATATTTGTGTACTTGGATGATGTGTGTGTTGTCGTGACATAGCAGAACACCAAGTCTTACATTTCGATCCAAGTATAACCGACGAGAATCATATCATAAGGACAGTGCAACAGCACTCAAACATCTGAGATTTTTTGGGAATTCACTATCTTATTTCAAAGGTATATTTGTTTACCCCATCATTTTTATAATTTTGCTTCATACTACTTATTCTTAGTAAGTAGTATTATTGTCTTTACGAATTCTTATGGATTTTATCGAAAACAAAATATTGTTAAATTTGTGCTTATTTTGATATCTTCAATATCTAACTGTATTGTCTGTTAGATACCCATTCGACTGCCTTGTCGAGCAGCTCCTAATACTTCAAGACGCTGACAACATAGAGCAGAGTATTCTGAACACCTTGAGCTCCGATATGCGAATTTTTAGCAAGCGATTCGCTCCCGCCAAATGTAAGATTATGTTACAGGATTGGACTACACTGACTTATTGCTCAGAAATAGGAAGTGACGGAGTAGAGCACGTTCACCGCTTCATTCAGTTGAAAAGTTGCATCAGACCAGCCAACGACAGTGGGTTGATCCGGTCGCTGGCGAAATCTCACCACGGATACAGAAGACTCGTTTCGCATATTCCAGTTTACTCCATCTCTGGCTTAGTTGACGTGATATCCGGCTGGCTATCGACCAAATGACGTGTGTACTGATCAGCAGTCCGTTCCGTCCTCCTTTATGGCTAGCTGTGACACCTGGCCATTGGGAGTGGAATGCATGAAAAGCCAGGATAACTGTCTTTGATCATAGGTGCCTGCGTTCTATCTCTCGTGTG